CTTGCATTTTGTGATACTGGATTGCGGCTTGATTTTTTCCACACTTTAATGTGCTTTTAAAGCCAGAGGTGTTTGTTTCTGTGTATTTAGATCCACTTGGCAAGTCAGGGACAAAGATTTAGATGAAATGGTGTGTGATTATGTTCTATATGATACTCGCTGAAAAGACAGGAGTTGGTTACAGAAAATGAATAGAGGAGCGGGTGCTGTGAAATCAAAGTTTAAATGTGCTCCAGGCAGAAGTGGTGTGATGGGGACAGAAAACTGTGGAACTTAAGGGCAAGCTGCTACAAAGTTACAGGGCATCCTTGACTGGTGGGGGGCCAGGTACTGCTGACGAGCTGGGGGGAACTAACAAAATCTAATACTCATCCAGGAAAATGCGATTTTTAAATGTAGGTTACAATTTCTGAACCTACTTCCTTCAGGATTCAGTTGTTCCCTCCAGCAAGCAGTGTCTGAAGGTCCTTCAGCTTTCTGTGCTGTTGGAGTCTGCGGGGTCACCACATTTCTGGTGCAAATGAGGGCATATTGCCAAAATGCCCTTGAGTGAGGTAACCAACAAGAAACACGTATGAAAGAGATGGGCCGGAGCTGTACAGGCTGTAGCTCCTGAGTGCTGCTGTGTGAGATGGTTCTGGTGAGGCTCACTCTCACAGTGGCACCAGGGCCTGGGCAACCAGTGTAAGTGTCACAGCTTTTTTTTTTTTCTGCCACTGTAGGCTGAAACGTCAGTGCTCTAGCAGGCATCCTCCAGAAAGCAGCATCCTAAAATGCAGTGTGGCCTTGCAGTTATGGAGCACTATCTCTTTTGATGCCCATCTTAGAGTTAAACAGAGCTTCTCCTGGCTTCACCTGCAGGACTAGAACTAAGCCCATCTTCTTTATCCTGCTGGTGAAAAGCCCCTGTAAGACTTTATCAACTTTTGTCTGCTCTGTAAAGATCTAGCTGGCTGACTACTCTCCAGTTTGTTTTGATGTTTGCGTTGTGCTCTTGGAAAGCCAGTCACGTTCCTGTCAGGATATTCATTGACGTTACACAGTGTAAACAGAAGGCTGCAAGGGACCAGACTGTGTGCCGGCAGCGCGTGCTTCCTGTGGGCTTCAATACTCAAATGTGATGTGCTGCTTTTATTTATTTATTTATTCAGCTATTCAGCCCTTACTTGGGTAGCAGATCTTTAAGCCATTCCTTAAATTGGTAGTTAGCATGTGTTAAGCATGTCTTTTTACCAGGAGGTAGTTCTGAGGTATTTTTTAGAGGAAGACACACACATGCAAGGTAGATGTGTCTTTTTGATGAGTACTTTGGAAGTGTCAGGGTAGCTGCTTCTGGTTGTTTCAAATTGATGTATTAAAATTCACTTTTTTAGGCAGGGAGTCAGATTTCCCTGTTGCACTTTTTAATGGCACTTGGGAAATCCTAGCTCATAGTGTCATGGGGTTCTGCATCAACATTGCTCTGTGTAAGTGCAGGATTAGCAGATGATTGGCTGGCGATATGTTCCACTGCTCAGAAGAGAGGTGTCCTAACATTTTCAGTGGCAAAATGTGCAAAACTACAGTGGACACAGGTGTGGAAGAGCTGTGGAGTCTGTCACCCACTTGACCGGTGAATTGTGAAGGCTTTTTCTGCTGTCCTTCAGACAGGAGCACATTCAAGAGCTGGACTAGCTAGTGCCCTTGCTTTGTGCTCTAAAATTGTATATTGCTAGTTAATCTGGGAATTAGGTGGAAATGTTAAGATTGGAAAAGATACTCCATAATGATAATTGGAATAAACCTCTGTCTGTTACCTTGCCAAAAGACGTCTGGGAGTCTTGCATTAGTGCCCCATGTATTTGTCACTGGTTTAAGTATCTAGATGATGGTTGCTTATGCTTAAGGGTTTGTTGTGAACTTACGAATATTTTTCCATGACAGGTCACAGTAATGAAAGGCAGTAGTAGGAATAAGGATCATTCGACAGAAGGAGAAGGAACTGGGAAGCGACCAAAAAGAAAGTGTCTTCAGTGGCATCCCCTGCTTGCCAAGAAACTTCTTGACTTCTCTGAAGAGGAAGAGGAAGAAGAAGAAGAGGAAGATATTGATAAGGTAGTCTTCAGTGGATGCTTTGACTGTAGAAGGTTAATGGTGATTCTCCATAGTTGTGTTTTTGTTTGCTTCTTGCTGTTCTCTTCTGTGAACAAATTCAGCCAGTTAAAAGGAGTGACGCTGTGCCCATAAGGCTATACAGGTAAATAGCAGATAACACCACAAAAGTGAGTTATCAACCACGCTTTTAAAATCTCAGACAAAACTCTGGTTTTCAGAGTTAGACTGTAAGAGGGTAACATGGGTTTTTGACACCGGTTTTTTTTTAATTGTTCATTTTAGAGAAGAAGTTAGCCTGTGATTAATAGCTGCATCTAGTGGCTTTGAGGTCATACCAAGCTAATACTTTGTATTTTTTTAATCTTTAAAAAAAGAAATAGAAGATTAAAAGAGAAAAAGAAGAAAAAGCTGTGTACAATTTTTACTGTCTTTGCATGTCAAATTCAACTTATCCTCAAAAATACTGAGAGCACAGGTGGAATAATCTCTCTCCCTTTTGATGCTTAGTATTTTGGTATTGTTTAATAATGCTGGCCTTACCCTTTTTTCGTAAGGATCCCACAATGTGGCACCTCACAAATGCACAATTAGACTCATTCTCTGTAACATGAAGTGGGAATGGGAGTTGATGGGTTTTGGAGACATGATGTTTCCATCATGTGGATAATGTTTCTGTCTGCATCTCCTTAATGCTTTGCTAAGGCAGGAAGGGAGAGGTCAGTGCTGAGGAGGCTGCCTTGAGTCACGTACTGATAAGGAAGAGTGACCTTGACAAAGATAAGGAGCAACACGGAGGAGCCTGATACTCTGACAGTGCTTTCTGTTGACCTTACAGGTCACTTGCTGGAATGCGGCATAGAACAGCCACATTGCTGTTAGGCAGGGGCCGGTTTTCTGACTCGTACAGTAATAAGTTTCACTCAGAACTAGTTTTCTGTGGTGCGTCCCTTGCAGGAATGATAGGCTGGTCTGTGGGTGGGCAGAGCATATTTTGGCAGCGTATTCTGTTGAGATTTGCCCTCTGGCTCCAGCTGGGCAGCTGTGCAGTGGCTGCACTGCAGCACAGCTCACAGGCTGAGTAATAAACAGCAGGAGATGGGGGCACAACCGTTACCTTCATGCTTTCCATGCTATGCACTTTGTAGTTGCAAACAAAGTGATTGAGGTCCAAGGTAGCTGTGCTACCCGCTGAGATGATTTCTAGTTTGTAGGAAGGGTGTATGAAGGATCTCCTCCCTCCAGCCTCTTTAGGACTGTTACTAGAGAATGGTCCTCAGCTTAGAAATCTGCTCCACTTGCAAGTCGGAGTTTAAGTCTTGTAGAGAACGTGAGTGAACCTTGGACCGTCAGGTGAGGAGGTTTGATGTAGAACTCCCAAGTATTCTGGACAGAACAGATGGCCTTTGGAGGCAGCTGTGCACCTCTCTCTTTCACACACAGCATGCACAGACTCTCGGTCTCCATGAGAAGCGTGGATAACTGAGTTTGCACTCCTTCCCGTTTGTTTCTGCTAGGTGCCACTCCTTGGCACTGATGGTTTAGAGCAGGATGCTGATGAAACTGAAGATGACGAGTCGTCAGAGCAACGAGCTCGCCGACCAATGAATGCATTTCTCTTGTTCTGCAAACGCCATCGCTCTCTTGTGCGAAAAGAACACCCTCGCCTCGATAATCGTGGCGCAACCAAGATCTTGGCAGACTGGTGGGCAGTTCTAGATCCAAAAGAAAAGCAGAAATACACTGACATGGCCAAGGAGGTATGTTCTGTCTGAATGGTGGATGTGAAAGGAGTTCATTACATACTTGTCTGTCTTCTGTTTCTCGATGTATTAAATGTTTTCTGTGGAGTCGTTCTCTTCCCTGTGTTCCTTGGCTTCCCCAGTGGGATTACGGTGCTCAGAGCAGCTGCCATTCTTGCTTTGATTCACTTGGTCGTTTGGACCAGAATGAAAAGAAACTGGTCTCTGTACACAGACTAAGCTGGCTGTAGTAGTCATTGGTACAAATATATGCACTTTGTGATAGGTATCACCTGGTAATTCCTGCGGTACAAGCATTGGCATGTGGATAGTGGCCACTGAAAACAACAACACGCAGTTCACTGTCAGCTGACAAGTGATATGTAGCTCAAGGAGTGCGTTTGCTATTGAGAATACAGGTTGCTATTATAATACAAGTGGACCAAATCAAAAGCATAGTGAACAAACGTAGTCCCTTTTTACCTTTGATGCTAAAGAATTTAAAAATTACTAGTGTTTCATGAGGTACTCTCCCTACCCATTGGTTGACCAGTGTCTGACAGAGCAGCCTTTGGTGAGGCAGAGTCCAATACCCAAATTGGAGAGCAATACATAGAATAGAGTTCCTTAACTGAGAGCAAGGGAAA